GGAATGCTTATCGGCCTCGTTTTTGGTTCTCGCCGCCATATTGGTGCGATACCATTTCGGCATTTCCGACGTCATAACTAAGTCGTCAGCTGCTTAAAACAGCCTACGTCAAGGCGTTAAATAACATGCTGCCTACGTCACAACTGGTTTTTTGGATTGGGGGGGGGGGGGGGGGGTTTGTTACACACCAGCCTTATGAGGATAGGCCATCCTGTAGTAGTAGTGTGTATCATCCTTGGGAACAAACGGCCATTACTCGTCTTGGTTTACCAGAGTATGAGGTTATGATTTGATAGTAGGCAATCCAAACCACGTGACATTCAAGATGGCGTGGCGGCCACACATGAGCCAAACTTAATTTTTTAGTCGTGTGCTGTCTGCTGTTTTTTCGGAGTTTCAAAGTTTTATGCGCTTCAAGGTGTATTTATGAGGGGTAAATCTGTCAAGTGCAATACAACAAGACATTAATATTATGCAGAGCCTATATTTGCAAGAACTTGGTGCCCAGTCTAGTCAGGATTATCCACATCCTCTAACTTACTCATTGGTTTTCCTATTATAAAACCATGATGGTTGAAGACATGATGCAAAATAGCACTCGTTCATTTTTGTGATAAAATGCTTACTACAAACTAAACTCTCTGATTTGCCACTTTAGATTGTGGAAAATCGTTCCGTTTGATTGCCGCTAATGGCGCGCATGCTATTCGTCTTTTTCATGAGAGTCATTTAAATGCGGAAAACATACTGAACTAGGGCCTGGGCACGTTTGGGACCCTGTAGGTTTAAGACACGTTCTCCCTTTTGTGGAGGCTTCCAGTTTCCATATCCCACAACCATACTTAATAGGTTACGTAGGTACCTAGTCAACAAATTATTATTTTATTAAATATTCAAAATCAAACTTGCAAGCAAAACTCGAAGCAAAATAACTAAAATACGCATCAAAAACACATATTCAAAATAAACTTGCTTGGCCGCCGCGCCATATTGAATTTCGTGTCTGACTGATGGATTGGATTGCCTAATGATGGCAAAACGTAACTGCGCCTGCGTATGACTAATATTTTCACGAAAATTTTGCTAAATGTTATTTGCCGTGTCAAAGAGGTAAAAAGCAAAACCAAGCTTCGACAATTTGACGTTTGATTCACGCATAAAACGTCAAATTGTCGAAGCATGTCAAAAAAAATGAATTTCGCTGTTGTGAGTACTAGGCTTAAAACCGCGAATTGGGGGTATTTATTTTGCGAACTTTTTTCTATTGGTCGAATATACTTAAACCTATCAAATTTAAATAAAATCGAGCAATAGAAAAAAATCCGCAAAATAAAAATCCGCAATTCGCGGTTATGCGAACTAGGCTCAAAACGGCTCTAAAGTTAATGGGTTGTTAATCGAAGCAATGTCAAAAAGAGCGAATGGGCTCTTTCACTAATTTTTGAAATTGGCATATTTGGATAAAGCAACTAAAAACAGAATTTTCTGTATTTTTACTTTTGAAAAATTCATAGTCCTTCTTGAGAAAACAGAAAAAAAAGAAATACCGCCAAATAAAAACCCAGAATTTATTTCTATGACGTCGCAGCTTGCAATTTGATCGTGTTGCCACTAATTGTCAACATTGAAAATTTGTAATAGATTTAATTCTGAAATGTTGGCAAAATATCATGAGAAGTAGTTAAATTAATTAGTTATGGATTCAAGGTTTTATAATTTTTTTTTTGAAATTATGCTTAAACATAATTTAATACAATTTTTTTACGTTTAGTTTTATTTATTTTTTTTACGTTGCACTACATTTACTCGCAACCGACAACAGCGCATTTGAACCTTCACGTACTTTACAGAGCACAAAGCAGCCGAGCCGATCAGCTCCTTCAACAACATGAGCGAAATGAAAAATATTTATGTGACGTCATGAATCGGCGCGTTTTAAATCATTTCGAATTTAGATAGTTTCAAGGGCCTGTAAAAAACTTATTCCACCTTGTAGAACAATTTTGTTTGGTATATATGCTCCTTTGGGATTTTATACCTAAATTACGTATTTAAATTTTAGTGAAAGAGCCCATTTCGCGGTTATGAGTACTAGGCTTTACACGACAGAGTTTCTTCACGAAATTATTGCCGAAATATTTCGTAAGTTTACTATTCTTGGTTTTGCTTTTTACCTGTTTGACACGGCGAATAAAATTTAACAAAATTTTCGTGAAAATTCTTTGTTCTCTTCTGCAATTTTACAAAGTCGAATTTGTGTTTTCCTTCCATAAATAAACCTTGTTTTTCTTTGGCTTTGCCCAAGGTTCCTGAAGTTAATAGGTTGCCTAGTAATGGGTAACTTATGATGACGCATCTGGGGTGCCTTATGTCGATTTGCATTATGATGAGGCACCCCAGATGCCTTTATACCACTACCAGTTATCAGGCAACCTACCTCTCTCAAACAACCTTGCTCTCTCAAACAACCTTGGCTTTGCCCAAATGGTCTTCCTCTTCCCGCCTTATGTTTTTGGGAGCAATACTTTTTTTCACCGATTGACCCACCGCGATAAGCAGTCTATCTTTATCTATTACATAGGAAATCAGGAAAATCCAATGACGCATTCATAAGGGAAAATTCACACCAAAGCAATAAGCGACTAGCAACTAGCAACGCGCGATACGCAACTCGTTATCTCTTTCGAAAAGTATACAATAAATAATGTATCTATTCATACCCAACCGACGCCGATATCACCCGATGAAATATCTGCGAGTGATGCGCGATTTTTATCGCCGGCAACATGGTCTGTCGATCGCTAGAGATACATGTTGCTTGGTCGGGTTTATTTTTCTTCAAAATGGAAGTCAGGGAAAATGTAATTTTTGTGGAAATCTTTGGAAAATATCCCTCTTTGTATGATTACACAATCCCAGATTATTCTAAATGCCAAGTTACCGAAAAAGCTTTGAATTTAGTAGCTAGTAGGGAAGCAAACATTTCAGGTAAACATTATTAAAAATAAATTTTGATTCTGTAGAAGTATCTCAGTGATTTTAGTGTCGTTAGTACACCGTTTTCGTTTTCCCGCTTCTGCAGGTAGATTTCTTTTCTATTGCTAGTTGCTGTCACAGAGTCTTGTCGTGTTGGTGTGAATTCAGGACCAATACGATTTTTATGTTGCGTATCGCGCGTTGCTAGTTGCTAGTTGCTTATTGCTTTGGTGTGAATTCTTCCTAAGGCTCCAAGGAAAAGAAAGCGCCTTTTAGTGTGTGCCGAATTTCACGCATTTTCTCGACCACGTCCACAAAAACTATAGAACATTTTCTGAAGTATATTGGCGAAATATTTTGTAAGTTTTTCTTGTCGTGTAAAACAGGAAAAGTTGACTTACGAAATATTTCGGCAGTAATTTCGTGAATAATTTCGGAAAGAAACTTTGCCGTGTGAAACAGCTCAGAACCTTGGGTTATCCGGGTAAATGGAGTACTTTGAAATAGCTCGGGAGTGCTCGAACAGGAAGCAACCGGTTGTTCGATCATTGTTTGATCGAATGCTACAACCGATAGATTAAAATTTAAAATAATCAAGTGCAAAAGCGAGAGCACTTTTGATTGTTTTATTTCAATGGGCAACACCAAGGATAATACACACCACTACTATAGGATAGACTATGCTTATAAGGCCTGTGTAGAACAAATCTGAAGCTCCCCACCACGCCAAATCACCAGTTGTGACGTAGCAGCATGCCATTTCTCTCTTTGACGTAGGCTGTTTGCACCACAGGTTATGATTCCGCGGACTTTTGCTTTATGCATACCTACTTGGTTTTACTACATTAATTAACATTCTAAAACAACTATTTTTTAGATCCCCATTTCATCTTCCTAATTGGCTAATCATAAACTTAAATTCTAAACTACGACCGCTGGCGCAAACTGCTGACGTCGCTTACGACTTAGTTAATGACGTAGGCAATGGTGATACATACCAATATGGCGGCGATTAGCAAAAACGAGGCCGATAAGCAATCCTTAGTAGTCTCTACTATCCTTGGGGCAACAATTTCTAACTTTGATGTAGACTATTTCGCTATTTCAACGCCATCTGGATGCGTTCATAAAAGAAAATGTTGTTGGTGTGGGGCGAGCCTGTGTCTCTACGGAGTGTGTAATTTTATTTCACACATAGTGTAGACTGTAGAGAGCGCTAACTCTTTTATGAACGCATTTGTGTCACTGGGGTTTTTAAATTCGCCATTTGTTGCAAGTTAACCCAAAGTAACTACCTATATAGAAATATGTATAGTAGAATACATAGTACTACCTAATACTTCGCCTAAAATCAACTTTATAGCTCTCACTAACTCACTAGAGATTAACTACAAAATTATAATATACATATTATTTATCTTATCTGATATAGGTACCTACTCAAACATGTTTCAAATAAGCTTATCAATTAATGTACAATGCCTTTTTCTCAAATATATAAATCATAAATATGGCAAATAAGTCCTTTTTTTAGTAGGTAAATAATTATGATTTACTTAATTTAAAAATTTGAACATTAAACTAGAGTAGGTAGTAGGGTAGTAGGTATGCCTGATGATACTTCAAAACGCTTCAAACAAAACGAAAACGAAAAACAACCTTACATTTCCATTTTCTTTGACAAATGCACATGTCGAGTAACATTTCGCCGGACATTCCTATGCGGCGAAATTCGAACAAGCGGGGCGCACTCCGGGTTTTAACTTAAAACATTAGCTGTATTCCTTTCAAGAGCTTAAAACCCTGAAGCTACTCGCTCCGGTGTTACTCGACCCCGTTTTGAAAGGAACAGATATACTGGCTAGAAAATTCCGCAAATTTACAGGAATCTGCGAATGTAATCTCAAATGGCCAACAGCGTCGTTTTGATTGGTCAGGGCAAATTCGAATTTACTCTAACGGTTATTACTGTCAAATTTTGTCTGTCAAAGACGCGTCAGGCCTTGCTTGATGTTGGGATGTCAATTTTTCATTTGTTGTCTACATATTTTTGTCATTACCAAAACCCAATCCCATTTTTCAATTGAATTGGATTCATAAATCCTTAAAAAAACCTCGTCGTTATTTGTCGTGGAATGGCGAGTAGCGGAAGTGTAAGTTGAACTTTTTGCCTTCAATCTTTCCTTTTTATTCCTTACTTCAATAAATATTATCGTTTATTTGTTATTTAGATGTCGAACAATGTTGAGAACCTCTCCCCTCAGACAATTCGTGGGGTTGCAAAGGAAATGAAAAATCTAGTCGATAACCCTCCTGAAGGAATCAAAGTTCTGATCAATGAAGAGAATATCACAGATATTCAAGCAAATATTGAAGGCCCCTTGGGTAAGCAATTCCAGTTGATATTTTTCTCACATGGAACCAGAATGATGTTTATTTTTATTAGCACTGTCTGTTTTTTTTTTTTGATCAGTTGTGTCAGCAGCTTACATATTTTTCCAGAAACCGATGCCCTTATTCTTTTGCGCTTTTCCTCAACCATAACTGCAGGTTCTCTCTACCAGTTGAATTTCCATTTTTTTTTAGCTCACATATGAATTAATTTTTTCGTCTTGTCCACTCTCATCGTCGTTCAAATTTTTTACATTCCTAGTCTTTGTCAACTTCCTGTTTTTTATTTTTTATCAAGCTTCTACTATCATATACATGTCGATTTGTGTGAAAAAATGTAATCATCAGATAGCCCACATTGTTTCATAGACAATTAAATTTTATTCATTTGGCTAATCACCTTTGTAGAAATATTTATCACATTCTGAGTAATCACCACGATATGCTGTTAAAATTCTTGGTTGTTAATAATAAAGCCATAAAACATAATTAATGTAGGTAACAAAACTAGGTACCTAATTAAGTACTAAATTTTGTATTCTATGGTAATTTCTAAATATGTACTTAAATATTTATTTATATGATAGTACTAATGTAATTCCTAAAATACCTATACCATACCCAAACCCCTATTATTCATGATCATTATCATTATAATATTATGATAGGAAACATTTTAAAGTAAGTGAAAAAATATATTATATAATTTCGGGTCTTTTTATCTGTCTACACACGAAACAGCTTTCCTGAACCTTGCATAAAATAAGCGTAAAATCAAATTTCAGCCGGTAAATAATTTTTTGAACTTCGTTGACCAGTCAGAAACAACTACTCCGAGGGCAAATACCCCTACCGGCGTTGAACTACACTGATTGGTCTGAGCTTTCGTTGGCAATGAAAATTGTTAGAAAGTTTTTTTTTTTTTTTTTTTCAGGTTCACCCGAACTTTCTAACAAATAATTTATTGTCCATAAAAGCTTTACGTACCTATATTCCAGCGCCCACTGCACCCATCAGATAAACGATAATCAAAGCTTGTGAAGGATGAGATTTTTTGGCTCAGATTTTGCTTGGATTTTCATCAAAAACCAACATATTTTAGAAAATCCTAAGGCTTTTCTGATAAAGCAAGTTATTTTTAATTTTCGAAGACACATTAGAAAAGTGGTCAATCTTTGTCGAAATTCTGAAAAAAGTTTTTTGAGCTTGAATGATTTTTTACTGAGTTTTAAACATGTTATTTCACGTTTTATAATCAATTTGTGAAGAAATTGAAATGATAGAGCACTTGAGAACCTCTAAAAAGTTAGCAATACCACATGCAAACCGGAAAATGGTAGTGGTAGTGGTAAACCCTGGTAGTGCTAGCTTGATATCAAGCACTACCAACGTCACCCCATATTCCTATAGAAGTTTTATAAAGGGGGTGTGACCCTAAAAAATGACTCAAGCTACTTAAATCAAGAAAAAAATTCTGAGATCTCTTGTGAAAACCGCAGTCCTATATTCAAAATAGTCTTCGAGAAAATTCCTTGTGAAGATAAATTATGTAGGAGCTTGTGATGTCACAACCGCCGAAATCGCAGTCTTCTGTTCTTTCAGTCGTCAGTGAACCGTACCCTATACTTTGAGTGGTTGCGATTCGCTCTAGGAGATCATTGTCTTTTGTTTTGGAATATTCTTACACGTGTTAATACTGTCCTTGATAATCTAGTGTGACGTCACAAACACCTAGTTGTAACTTCAAACCGCCCTAACTCGAAAACAGACCATCCTAGCAAGATGCGGTTTAAATATTTATTCTTAGATTTTTTTGCACTAAAACTTTCATTTTTGGGTTACACCCCCTTTAAGTGGTTATTAAGTTCAAAAAAAAAGGTCGCCTCTATTAGGATAAGAATTGCTGAAAATTTCAACTTTCTATCTATAGCCTAATCCAGACCTACATACACTGCCCACAAACAAATGTTTGGAAACATTTGCCTGTAAACAAAACAGTTACACACGTTTGTAGGTGTTCTGTTTCACCGAATGTTTAGTTTTTAAACCAGGTAGCAATTGCGTCCAGACTAAAGGAAAAACATGTCATCCAATAGCAGCACCACTGATATGATTGCTTAAAACAACAAACAGCGAGTATAAAAACAAAGTTTCCCATCCTGACGGGAAACAAAAAACTTTAAATATTTGTTTAAATGTTTTTAAACTTTTACAAACACATTTTAAACAGCTTTTATACATTTTTATACAAATGTTTAAATGTTGGCGAGTGACTGTATGTAGGTCTGAACTAGGTTTATAATAGAAAAAAATACTGGCTTGTCCTTAATGATCTCAGACTAATAAGACCTTGGCAAACATAGTTAACAAATTGCTTCATAAAAGGTCATATAAAAGGCGGCAGCAGAATAATAAACCCTGGATGGCGAGGGCAAATAATTCTGGTTCTGATTTTAATTTCCTTGGTACTAAATATTAATTTTTCCCAATCACTTCTTCAACTCTGATAAGTTGCAGCTCCGATGTATGGGTATAGTCAGCCAAAATGTCGTTATTGGACACGACTTTACCCCTTAGCATAAGCTGCTTACGATCAAGCACTTTTCTTACCTAAGTTAAAGTTAGTTTCTTAGCTGAGCTAAGTTGTTTGATCGTACGTGCAATTCATATCTCGTTATTTTGTATGTGATCTGTTCCATCGACTGGTATATTTAAACTTATTATTTCCTCGTCATTAAATTTAAAACTGACTTTGAAAGTTTCATATTCCATTTTGTGCAATGGCAATAATTTATTTATTTATTTATCAACGAGCAATTATTGCCCAATTAAAAGACAAGTATAATTAACAAGTGAGAATCTTAACCTAACCTATCACCTAGAATATCAAAACATAAGAAAACAATAAACAGTAACATATTAAAAAATATATATCAATAAATTAACATAAAACATAAGGTAAATACTCGGGTAAAAACCACAAAATACTTTAAAAAAAAAAAAAAAAAAAAAAAAAAAAAAAAACTTAAAACTTTTTTTTTTTTTTTTTTTTTTCTTTTTTTTTTTTTTTTTTTTTTTTTTTTTCTTTCTCTTCCCTAATCATAACCATTCTTTGGGACATTAAAATATCACAGAGTACAGGACTTAAGCTGGGATTTAAAAACTTTTTGATTATCAAAACAGTCCAACCTGTTAGAATACTGATTAGCAAATCTAGCCGATCTTGATAGAAAAGAATTATATCCGTAGTTAGTACGATGGTGTCCAATTTGGAACGGCTGATTTAGCCTTGTTTGTCTAGAAGGGACATGGATATTGACTTTTGCCAGTAGCTCTGGACCAAAGCTGTATGAGTGCAGTAGATTATAAAATATGGTAAGATCCTTGTGCATGCGTCTGATTTGAAGAGTAGTGATATTAAGGGAACTTTCAACCCTTGAGTAATTAATATCTTCAACTTCATGGCGTTCCTTAAATGAAATAAATCTCAAGAATTTATGTTGGACTCTCTCAATAGCCTGGATATGGACGTTGTAGTGGGGAGACCATACACAAGAACAGTAATCTAGATGAGGCCTCACAAGAGAACAGAATAATATTTTGATGGATGCTATATTAAGAAAATCTTTAGCGCACCTTTTAATAAAACCCAAGATTTGAAGTGACTTTGATACTGCCATTGAAATATGGGATATGTAAGATAAGTTGGAATCAAGGACTACACCTAGATCTTTGATTTGACATACAGATTCCAGAGGGCAACCATTTATAGTGTAGACTTGTTCTGTGGGATTCCTGCTACGACTGAAGACCATCAGATGGCACTTCTGAACATTAAGTTCCATACCATTAATTTCACACCAGTTGCTGAGACGATCTAAGTCGGCTTGCAGTTCTAGGCAATCAGCATTATTCTTGATTTTTGTGTATAGTTTTAAGTCATCTGCAAACATTAGGAAGAAGGAAAAGAGAAAAGAGGATGCAATATCATTCACATATAAATTAAAAAGAAGAGGGCCCAGGTGTGAACCCTGGGGTACGCCCGATGGTACTTTAATTTCTATTGATTGGAATCCCTGAATACGTACCATCTGTGTTCTTTCATTAAGGTAAGATGAAAGCCATTCCAGAAGGACACCCTGAATTCCCAGACTCTGCAACTTATTAATCAAAACTCTATGGTTAACCCGATCAAACGCCTTTGCAAAATCAGTGTACACAGCATGAACTTGATAACCCCCCTCCAAGGATTCCAAGAGATAGTCAGTAAATGTTAAAAGATTAAGTTCTGTGGAGCGATGAGAAATGAATCCAAACTGTTGATCGATGAAACAGCCTTTTAAACTAGCAGACAAATAATCACAAACTAGACTCTCAAACACTTTAGGGATACAACTTAATATACTGATGGGCCGATAGTTATTAACCTGTGAACTATCTCCAGACTTCAATATGGGAGTAATAAAGCTTGTTTTCCAATAGGCTGGGAATGTCCCGGTCTTTAAAGAGAGGTTAAAGATATGGAAAAGAGGTCTAGAGAACAAGAAGCTACAGTGCTTGATAAGTGATGGTGGGAGGCCATCAGGTCCTGGTCCCTTGTTAATATCCAATTTGGATAGTTTTTCATAGATAGATGAGATGGGTATGTTATATTCCGACAGATTGATGTGCCCAGAAGGCAGAATGTCCTGCAATACACAGTCTTTATCACTATAAGTTTTTGAAAAGTATTCAGCAAACAAATTGACAATCCCAACTCCAGATGAACTAGTAACACCATCATACCGCATTACAGAAGGTATATTATTTTTGGCTTTTCTGCTGTTAACAAATTTCCAGAAATTCTTTACATTATCTCTAAGAGACGATTCAGTTAAAGCAACATAACTTCGATAACATTCTTTTTTTAGGTGTTTGCAGTGAGCCCGTAACAAAGAAAACTGATTATAGTCATCTAGTGATCTACTTTTACGATATTTTTTATGCAATTTTTT